CTCGGGAGTCAAGGGACATGATGACGCTGAGGCTGTGAACCTGTGTGCCTAGGAGAGGGGTTCTCTTGACAAGAACAGTGACGTTAGGAAGAATGAAGGGAGTATAGGAAAGAATGATGAATTCTCCTTTAGACTTGTGATAGAAGAGAAATAAAATGGATTAAATCTACAACAAAATAGAAAAGAAGACCTTGAAAACACTTAAAGTATCAGCTGGTCACATCTCCCTCTCTCCCCCTTATGACCAATGATACTTCTGTAGAAATGTCTTCACAGAAAAAAAAAATCTCATAAATTTAGGGCTGTAATTTTTTCCTCAAATGCCCTCAGCAATGCTGTTGTTTCCCAGAGATGCCCTTTAAATTCTTTTCCTAATCCAAATATTTGGCTCAACATTTTTATCTAGTAATTTTGACATTTTTATTTTTTCTTTTTAGATCCTAATAATTAGCATTTTTGTTGCTTTAAAGTTTGCAAAATGGTTTACAAATACCATCTCATTTCATCCTCACAACAGCCTTGTGAGGTAGATGCTATTATTATTCCTATTTTACAGATGAGGAAACTGAGGTAGACAGGTTAAGTGCTTTGTCTGGAGTCACACATCTATATTAAGTGTCTGAAGCTAGATTTGAACTCTGGTCTTCCTGACTTCAAGTTTGGCACTCTATATACTATGCCTCCTCTCTGCCTCATTGGTCCTTCTATCTCGTTTTTTTTTCCATTTCATGTGTGAATACTTTAAAAATGTATTTAAGGGATAGTAAAGGTCTCAAAAATCTCATCTCTTTTGTCTCAGTTGTGCCTTTAAAACCCATGTATCACCCATATAATAATGCCCTTCTTGTGGTATTACATAATCTTCGTTTGGTACCTATGTTTCCTTCCCTGAGGGAAGGGACAGAGCTATTTTTCATCTCTGAATTTCCAGGGCTTAGCATGTTATAAGTGCTTAGTAAGTGTTTGTTAAATTGAAGTTCCCTCTAGCTTTAATATTCATCCTGTTAAGGGCTTGCAATTTGAAATTAGTATTTAAATATCCATATTCCAAAATCATCATTTTAGAAATGTTAAATTATTTTTACTCTGATTAGTTTGATGTGTGCCTCCATAGGGAATGTCTCTGATAAATTGAAATACGGTTAAGATGAACACTGTTAACCAAGAAGGAAAGAGCTTCCTCTTTCTAATAAATGGCAGGTCTTCTACAGCAATGAAAGGCTCCCATTCTACTAAGACTAGTTTTCCTATTCGGCCCCTTGGCGCGGTGTGTGGCTCCAAGCAAGTGCGCACTGCGTGTTGACTGATTGATTGTTGAAAAGAGGCGGAAACTTGAGATGTCAGTACATTTGGGCTCTCAAGGCAATCCAACAAGCATTTCTTGAACACCTGCTATGTGCCAGGCTCTGTGCTGGTGGCTGGGGATGACACTGACTCCTCTGGTAGTTTAAGGATGGGTGCTAAATGGGTTTCTCCTTCATTTTTCACTTATAAAAATGTCCAAGAAGTCTATTCCAGTGGATGCACCCTTGCTTCAGGTAAAACAGGCCTTTCTTAGCATATGGGTATAGGAATGATCACACCTGAACTAAGCAGGTGATGTACAGGTGTATGTAGCTCCTGCAGAGGGATGGGGCAACCATTTTTCTCTGCTTGACCCCTTAGGACTTTTTCTAATTGCATCATTGCTGAACTGAATCTCTTTAGGTCTTTTTATTACCAAATAAAATGTACTCTGAGCAAACACAGTCTTTTTTGAGGGACCAGGAATTCTTCTAGGTCATTGAATAGGCTAGGAGATTTTTGTATCTCTAATTATATATTTTGCATCATAAGCATGGTCAAAGTTTGTGTAAAAGTGAGATGCTGTGGGAAAATGCATTCACTTGTGGCCTTAAGAAAACAAGGACAGAAGCCATATTTTCCATGATTATTTATGCATTATTGGAGTAGATAGAAAAAAATCACTTGATCCTAAAATTAGTAGTAAGTAACAAGGTAGCTGATTTCTAAAACAACTTGGGGCACTTCCCTTGGCCTGTATATACCGGGAGCCTAATCAAGGGAAGATTTCTTTCTTTCTTTCTTTTTTTTTTTACATATGTCGTTAGGCAAAACACTTCCATAGTAGTCATGTTGTGGAAAAATAACTATATTTCGCTTCATCCTATCCCACCCCTTGTCTATTCTATTCTCTCTTTTGACCCTGTCCCTCCTCAGAAGTGTTTACTTCTGATTACCCCCTCCCCTAATCTGCCCTCCCCTTTAACATCCCCTTGCTTTCTTATCTCCTTCTCTCCATTTTCCTGTAGGGTAAGATAGATTTCCATATCCAATTGAGTGTATATGGTATTCCCTCCTTAAGCCAAATCCAATGAGAATAAGATTCACTCATTCCCTCTCACCTTCCCCCACTTCCCCTCCACTGTAAGAGATGTTTGCTGTTTTATGTGAGATAATTTACCCCATTCTACCTCTCCCTTTCTTCTTCTCCCAGTACAATCCTCTCTTACCCCTTAATTTTATTCTCTAGATATCACCCCTTCATCTTCTACTCACCCTGTGCCCTCTATCTATCTATATATTTATTTATCTGTCTATCTATGTATTTACCTACCTAACTACTATCTATATATACATATAAATTTTTTTCCCTCCAACTACCATAATACTGACAAAGGTCTCATGAGTTACAAATGTCATCTTTCCATGTAGGAATGTAAACAGTTCAACCTTAATAAGTCCCTTATGATTTCTCTTTCCTGTTTACCGGTTCGTGCTTCTCTTGAGTCTTGTATTTGAAAATCAGATTTTCCAGTCAGCTCTGGTCTTTTCATCAAGAATGGTTGAAAGTCCTCTATTTCACTGAATGTCAATTTTTTTCCCCTGAAGGTTTACACTCAGTTTTGCTGGGTAGGTGATTCTTGGCTGTATTCCTATCTCCTTTGACCTCTGGAATATCATATTCCAAGCCCTCCAGTCCCTTAATGTAGAAGCTGCTAAATCTTGTGTTATCCTGATTATATTTCCACAATACTTGAATTGTTTCTTTCTGGCTGCTTGCAGTATTTTCTCCTTGACCTGGGAACTCTGGATTTTGGCTATAATATTCCTAGGAGTTTTCCTTTGGAGATCTCTTTAGGAGGTGATCAGTGTATTCTTTCAATTTCTATTTTACCATCTGGTTCTAGAATATCAGGGCAGTTTTCCTTGATAATTTCTTGGAAGATGATGTCTAGGCTCTTTTTTTGATCATGGTTTTCAGATAGTCCAATAATTTTAAAATTATCACTCCTGGATCTATTTTCCAGGTCAGTTGTTTTTCCAGTGAGATATTTCACATAGTCTTCTATTTTTTCATTCTTTTGGTTTTGTTTTATAATTTCTTGATTTCTCATAAAGTCACTAGCTTCCATTTGCTCCATTCTAATTTTTAAGGAAGTATTTTCTTCAGGGAGCTTTTGGACTTTCTTTTCCTTTGGCCAATTCTGCTTTTTAAGGCATTCTTCTCCTCATTGGCTGTTTGGACCTCTTTTGCCATTTGGGTTAGTCTATTTTTTTAAGGTGTTATTTTCTTCATTTTTTTTTTCAGGTCTCCTTTAGTAAGCTGTTGACTTGTTTTTCCATGATTTTCTTGCATCACTGTCATTTCTCTTCCCAGTTTTTCCTCTACTTCTATTACCTGCTTCTCAAAATCCCTTTTGAGCTCTTCCATGGCCTGGGACTGATTCATGTTTTTCTTGGAGGCTTTGGATGTAGGAACTTTGACTGTGTTGTCTTCTTCTGTTTATATGTTTTGATCTTCTTTGTCACCAAAGAAATATTCTATGATCTGACTTTTTTTTTTTTTTTGGTGAGGCAGTTGGGGGTAAGTGACTTGCCCAGGGTCACACAAACCTTAAACTCTTTGTCAAGGTAGGGGTCTGCTTCCAGTATGGAGAATGTACTGTCCCAAGCTTCAGGTGTTTTGTGCAGCTGTTTTCAGAGATACTTCTAGGGACCTGTAAGTTTTCAGTTCTTCCAAGGTGGTACGATCAGGGGTGAGGCATTTACTCTTTTCCTGGCCTGTGCTCTGGTCTATGAGAGACCACAAGCATTCTTTTCTGCCTTGTAACGATAAGAATGATTCCCTTTCCATTTCCACCATAATCTCCACCATGCTAGCGCTCCTCCTTGCTCCATGACTGCCATCCAGAACTGTGACCCAGATCCAAGTACAAGCAAAGCGAGAGACTCCTGCCTCAGCACCAGCAAAGAGATCCCTGCAGTCCCCCTCTGATCACCCACTTGATTCTTCCTCAGTCTGTGGGCTGAGCTCAGGAAGCAACCCTTGCCCTGGGGTCACACAGGTGTAGGGCTGGGACCAAGCTTCTCTCTCATTGTGGTCGCAGACTTTTTCTACTGACCTTCTAAGTTGTCTTTGCATTTGTTGGTGGAGAAGTCTGGAAACTGCCACAGGAGCAGCTAGGTGGTGCAGTGAATGGAGCACCGGCCCTGAAGTCAGGAAGACCTGAGTTCAAATCTGGCCTCAGACCAAAATTTGACACGAACTGTGTGACCCTGGGCAAGTCACTTAACCCCAATTGCCTAAAAAGAAAAAAAAAGAGAGAAATGGAAACCACCACAGCTGCCAACAATTCTGTCCTCTGAGACCTGCTATAGGTTTGCTGAGGCCTGGTCTTTGCCTGTGTACCTGTGCTGAACTGTATTCTCTCCCAGCCCCGTGCAATAGACCTTTCCAATCAACCATCCAGGTTGTCTTGGGCTGAATATTTGTTTCATTCTGTCTTTTTGTGGGTTCTGCTGCTCTAGAATTTGTTTAGTGCTATTTTTTACAGGTATTTGGAGGGATTTGGGAAAGAGCTCAAGCAAGTCACTGCTTTCACTCCGCCATCTTGGCTCTGCTCTGGGAAGATTTCTGACAAACTTGTTGGCTCATATTATCATCCAAGCCCATATTAAAATGAATACTTTATTGTATTATTTGTCTTTATTTGCAGATTTTGAAAAAGCTTTTTCTCAGAATCCTGCTTTATTCTCTGATGCATTTATGGAAGGAAGAATTCACAGTTTACTGAAAGGAGGTAAGATGACCTTATTTTCCAGGATACTTTTATATGATTGTTGAAATATTTTATTTTTTTAAATATAAATAAAATATGGATTTTTGCTTAACATTATAAAAAAGGAACATGAAGTTTCAGTACACTGGTAACTTTTATAAGTTCATAACTGGAATTCATATGTGTTTAAAATGATCAGAAACTTGAAATGCCATTTGGAATCTCATTTGAAAAATACACTGGAGATGTTATTCTCAGTGCAAAAGCATATTCCAGTATTGAGGTTGATTCATTTCTACAATTCTCTGGTAGAATAGCTCTTACATGGAAGAACATTTCTAATGTGCACATAAATAACTCTCCACAAAAGGTTTGGCCCAGGAAATTATTTTAAAATTGGAAGTTTAAAATGGAGTTTTTCTGGATTGAATTTTCAGTGGAATGATGTCATTCCCAATTACGTTTATTGCTAAAGGACTCTGTAGACTGAATTTCTGATTGGTAATTTCATTTTATATAATTTGAGTTTACATTTGAACTTAGTGTCACTGCAGCCGTCCAGAGTTTGCAGTTTGACTGTGTGACCTTGAGCAAGTCACTTACACTCCCCATAGGATGAAGAAGTTATATCCTTCTAGCTCTAATTTCATGATTCCATCATGAACATAATATAATAGTTGGTCCTTTTATTTTTATTTACAATACACAAAGAAGAAAGTGTTACTCAGAAAGAAACTTCCATCAGGGAGACAAGTAGAAGTTATGCCGACATCAGCAGCGTTTCTGCCATTGCTTGGCTCTGTTGGGCTCGGGCACAATGTCTAAGGATGCTCCTTGGTACTTCAGTGTTGTTCTTGTCATCACTGTACCTTCCTAATGCCAGACCTGTGCCCTCCCAGGCCCGCTTGCCCAACTCCCCATGGGCACCACCGGGTGTTTCAGCATTTGTCTGTCCTAAATCTCATCCTCCCCAGGGTCAAAGATTAACCTTTAACAGTGACCACAAAGTAATCTTCCAAGCCACAGATCCTGATAATGAAAGCTGGGGACACTTCTGTGCCTCTCCCTCCCATGGTATAGCAGAGGAACTGTCTGCAGATGGCGTTCCTTCTTTTGTGGTTTAATTCTAATGAGAAGCATCTCAGGCCAGTTTGGAGGGGAAACTCGGCTCGTGGGAGGCAGGTGGGAAAGCTGTTTGGGTGTAGATGAGGCCTTTCCAGGCCTTCAGGGAGTTACTCACCACACTTATGGTTGGCCCAGTCCCATAGGCCTGGCCGCCTTCTCAGCCCTGGCCAGTCATATCTGCTTTTGTTACCTTGGCTTGTTGTTACCTTGCCATATGTTTGTGTCATTCGTTGACTGCCTGCACACTGGGTCACCTTATAAGGGGAGTCACACTGTAATATAGTCTCGCTTTACGTGACTGTTTTAACCTATGTTAGATTTTATTATGTGTTTAAAGGGAGGCTTTTACCTTGCAGTCCATCCCTTCTTCTTCCCTCCTCTCTATCTCCTGTCATCACCTCAATCTCCTCCTTGACTCCTGTCTCACATCAGGAAATGAGCTTACTCTTGGCCAAGAATGATTCCTCTACCTGCAGGAGAGATCCCATTCCATCCTTTCTCCTCCAACAGATTGCCCTCTCTGTCAAACCCACTCTGTCACCCAATTTCAAATACTCCCTGTCTGATGGATTCCTCCCTTCTGTCTATAAACAGGCCCATGTCTCCCCTGAAAAACCTTCATTGCTAACTATCATCTTATATGTCTTGTGCCCTTTGTGGCTAAACTCCTTGAAAAGGCCATCTACAATTGATGCCTCCATTTCTCTCCTCTCACTCTCTTCTTAACCCCTAACAGTCTGGCTTCTGACCTCATCATTCCCCTGAGACTGCTCTCTCCAAAGTTATCAGTGATTTCTTAGTTGCTAAATCCAGTGGCCTTTTCTCAGTTCTCATCCTCCTTGACCTCTCTGCAGCCTTAGACCCTGGTGGTCACTATCACCTCCTGGATACTCTCATCTCTCTAAGCTGTTGGGACTCCTCTCCTGGTTCTCTTTCTACTTCTGTGACCACTCCTCCTCTTTCTCCTTTGTTGGACCTTCAGCCAGGTCACACCCTCTTAATGGCAGGTGCCCTTTAGGGCTCTGTCCTGGGCCCTCTTTTCTCCTTCTAAACTATTTCACTTGGTGATCTTATCAGCTGCCATGAATTGAATTACCATCTCTATACCGACAATTCACAAATCAACCTATTCCACCCCAACCACTCTAATGACCTCCACTCTCATATCTCTAAGATATTCAGCAGATATCCAAAACTCAGTATGTCCCTCCTCCCCTCCCACCTTCTCCATTACTGCAGAGGGCACTACCCTCCTCCCAGTGCCCCAGGCTCACAGCCTAGGAGGCAACCTGGACTCCTCTTACCACCCCCCAACCCCCCCCACCCGCGCCCCCCGGCCCTGATCCAAGCTGGTACCAAGGCTTGTTGATTTCACTTCTGCACCACCTCTTGAATACACCCCCCTTCTTTCCTCTGACACTGCCTTGACCCTGGTGCAGTCCCTCATCCCCTCAGGCCTGGCTATTGCAATAGCTGCTGGGGTTGTGCGTCTGCCACCTGCCTCGAGTCTCTTTCCACTCCAGTCCATCCTCTATTCAGCTACTAAGGTGATTTTCCTAAAGCAGAGGTCCAACCATGTCACCCCCCCCCCCCCCGGACCTCCAGGACCAAGCACCAAATGCTGTTTGTCATTCAGAGTCCTTTATAACCTGGCCCCTCCTCCGTCCCCAGTCTTCTTACATCTCACTCTACAACATGAACTCTAACACCCAGTGACGCTGGCCTCCATTCCTTGGCTCGGGACATTTTCTCTGCTTGTCCTCGTGACTGCAATGTTCCCCCTCTTCTCCAACTACTGACTTCCCTGTCTTCCTTTAAGTCCCAACTAAAATCTCATGTTGTAGAGGAAGCCTTCCCCAGTCCATCTTAATGGGAGTACCTTTCCTCTGTTAAGTATTTCCTATTTATCTAGTATTCAGCTTGTATGTGTGTGTGTGTGTATGCATATATGTACATATATATATTATGTGTGTGTGTGTATTTTGCATTTGTCTCCCTCAATAGGTTGTAAGGTCTTTGAGGTTAGGCACTGTTCTTTGCCTCCTTTTGTATCCCCAGCACTCTGCACTGTGCCTGGCACATAATAGGCACTGAATAAACATTGGTTGATTGATTGATCTGTCTCTCCCTTCTTGGCCTTCTCTGGGATATCTATGGCTTTCTTAATGTGATATTCAAAACTTAATAGAGCAGTATAAATATAGTTTGAATAGGATGGAGTAGAGTATCCAAATCAACAAATATTTGTTAAACACCTACAATGTCCTGAGCACTGTGCTATGCACTGGGGCTGCAAAGACAAAATGAAGCAGTCCCTCATCGTGCGAGATGCGTCATGTCAACAGAAAAGTGTAGATGTGACAGCTCAAGGATAAGGGAGAAAGTCAGCCCAGGCTTCCCAACTGTCAAAACCCTTAATCTTTGCTTTTCTGTGTATCCCTAGCACTTGGCATGTAGTAAGCCCTTAATAAGTCCCTGTTGGCTATTTGTGTCTTGTCCTACATTAGACTGTAAGTTTATGTAGGAAAGGGACCAGGCCTTACCTAGATTTTGTCTCCTCTATCATCTAGTACAATGCCCTGAAGATGGTAATTACTTAATAAATGTCAAATGAATTTGTCTTGGGGGACAATTAGCTTGTTCTCATTAAATATGTTCCAGGAGAGCTATCCTAACAAGGTTAGGTGTCCACTAAAAGCTTTCCATATGGTTCTTACATTTTGCTCAGGAGGGCAGGTGAGTGTAGCCATCTGGTTAAGTATTTTATGAACAGCTGGGCCTCCCTCAAACTCTTTTGTCTTCGTTGGAATAGATCTAGTAGAAGGTTAAGAAGGAACCCTAGTCAGAAGAATGCCTCTGAGGTACCAGGAAAGAAATGAATTTGAGCCGAAGTGTCATTAGTGGTGTCTGAGAGGAATACAAGTCAAATATTGCTAGTTCAAATGATAAGAAATACATTTCTTTAACATAGGAGCTAGTGGTAGTTTTAATAATTGCTTTCCTCTTTGACTTTTTCTCTTGTATCGTTTTAGGCAGTGGTTTGTCCCATGGAATTGTAAGAGTCTATCCTCTCAAGACATGCCGGCGTCCAATCAGGATTGGTTTGTCAAGAAAGGCAAAGCCCAAACAGCTCCATCCCTATCTGAAATGAGTTTGTTTCAAGACCATAAAGGAAAAGATCATTGTGCTGTATCTCAGAAGGCTTAGAAATGTCTAAGATATTTATTCGCTTTTTATGTGTAACATAATTTTTACAGTTTTAGGGTTTTGATATCTATTCTAAGTTATAAAGTATTTTTATTAAGGTTAATCTTATCTTTAAACTTTCAAGTTTTATAAAATACTAAGTTCTACATGAATTTGTTCTTTAATAAGAATAGAACCATTAAACTTTTTTCTTAATTTTGTTGCAGATATTTGCTTAGCATGTTTGTTTCCTGTGATAACTAATTTAAAAACATTATTGGAACAAGGTGCCTGATTTTCTGTTGCTCCCTGAGGGATAGGTCCTCCTCAGATTCTGAGGAATGATAGCCCTTTATATCTCTCTCATAGCACCTGTCACTAGTTTGTATCAGATTTTTATGCCTGTGCTATATCTCCTCCATTGGACTGCAAGCTCTATGAAGGCAGAAATTATTCTCCTTTAAATCCACCATGTCCATAGTGAGATAACTAGGTGGCACAGTGGTTAGGGCCTGGAACTGGGAAAACGGAGTCAAATATGGCCATAGGCACTTACTAGCTATGCAACCCTAGGAAAGTCACTTAAACTTTGTCTGCCTCAGTTTCCTCAACCATAAAATGTAAAATGTGGATCATAAAAGCAACTACCTTGTAGGGTTCTCATGAGAATCAGATGAGATAGTGTTTGCAGAGTGCTTAGCTCAGTGACTGGTGCACAGTGGGCCCTATGCAAATGCTTCTTCCCTTTCCTTCCCCTTTCCCATAGCACAATGCCTTACAGATAATGGTCCATTTTCACATATTTCGAATATAGAATCAAAGGCTATTGTTCAGCCACCACTCAAAACGATTTCATTTCCAAGGTCTTAAACTCTGAAATTTCCCTTTTTAGCCACAACATCCTCCTTCATTCTCTTTCATCACTCCTCTTCCTTCACCACTACCAGTGTGGATTACCGGTCAGTAGAAGTCTTCGACTGAAGGCTGAGAGATCATTAGTTGGGAAGTTCGAGAGGAGAGCCTCACGCCAGGCCCAGGTTGAACCAGTTTCCAGCTCTGAGTTTCCCTGGGAACCTTGTCTAATGAGAGAATGGCTGATAAAAATGAGCTGCTGATCTCTTTGAATGTGAACATTTTGGTATAAAGGGACTTTAAGAAAGCATCTAGGTCATCCCTTCAAGCAAGGAGCTGTGTGAATGCTAAGAAATTACCCTGTTTTCAAACACCTCCAGTGACAGAGGAGATATACCTTGTCTCTGTAAGTATTTCAGTGTGCACTGAAATGACTTAGTGCTCTGATTTTCTCTGGGGAGTTGGCATGCAAGAATCGGATGAAAGCCACAGGAAATTTCACAGAAGTAGAATCCAGGAGAAGGTAAGCTCCTATAGAATGTAAACTCATTGTTTTTGCCTTCTGTGTCTCCAGCAAGTAGTACAGTGTTTAGCCCAAAGTAAGCACTGAATAAATGCCCCTGAGTTGTCATGAATTCACCTCCAATATGACTATCAGTTCCCCTTTTGATCCTATCTTACTCATCACCCTTATTCTAGTTTCACTTCTTTCCCTGGAATCACAGAACCATAGAGCTCAGTGGCATCTAAGTCCAAACCCTAAAAGAACTCCCACTCTAAGCAAAAAGTGCCAGGAACCATCTCCTCAGGTAGTTGTTCAGCCTTCCTTGCAATCCACCTAGGTATGAGGAACTCTCAAGCTGAGGTAATTTGCACCATCCATCTTAGTGCCCATGCTGAAGACAGCCAATGCTATGCCCCTGCTGTTGGGTCAGTATGATGCCATTCAGAGAGAGCTGGCCTCAGAGCAGGGACAATCTGGATTCACATCCCACCTGGGGCACAAACTGGCTTTGTATTTGTCACCCTGGACAAGTCACTTAATCTCTCTTACTATAACCTCTCTGCCTGTGTCAGAGACCATTTCCTCTAATCTCCCTGTGCCAGTCCTGTGAAGCATCTCTTCCTTTCTCCTGCCTATTCAGTCGTGACCTATCAGCTACCTCCTCTGCTCCCCCCACTCCTCATTATTCTTGATTTTTCTGCAGAATGTGATACTTTAGAATACCCTCTCCTTTTTGGTACTCTCTTCTTTATTAGTTTCTGTGATCAAAAGCTTTACCAAGGAGATAAAAACTGGCAGGTTCCTCTACACTGGAAAGAATTAGAGGGAGCAGGCCAGGTGTGCTTTCCAAGGACTGCCCTAGTGATGTAAAGAAACCCTTATCACCAACAGGCCAGAAGATGACCTCTTTGCTTGTGGCAACATATGAAACAAAGAAAAATACAAAATGGCCCCCAGTCTTCAGTGATGGTAGCAGAGCATGTAGAAAAGGGAGCACAGAGAACTACAAATCACATAGTTTTTAGACCATCCATAATATTTAACATGGGTGTTGGTATTTTACATGTGAGATCCTTGTTCAGTGATCAATGAATGAACATATTACTGAAGCCATTAAATTGTATCAGCATTTGACATTCTTGCTACTCCACTCAGTGGAAGGATGGCTTTGGGTTCTCCTTGGAGAGGCTAAGAAAGGAGCTGCTGGAGTTGCTTTCATCTTGTGTTACAAGGCAACAAGAAACTTCCAATGGGATTTTTTGGTTATCTTCTGTTGCAGAGTTTATGGTGAACATTTGCAAAAAGACCATCATGAAAATCAGTGTCACTTTTCATAGAATCACACGGGGGAGAAATTTCATGATGTCCTTAAGAACAAGACCTCCAGGGGCAGCTAGGTGGCATAGTGGATAGAGCTCTGGCCCTGGAGTCAGGAGGACCTGAGTTCAAATGCAGACTCAGACCAAACACTTGACACTTATTAGCTGTGTGACCCTGGGCAAGTCACTTAACCCCAATTGCCTCACAAAAAAAAAAGACTTCCAGATTGAACCAACATACACTGTGGATTTTGGTGACTTCAGTGCCAAGATGGAAGCAGTTGAGGATGGCATGAAACCCCCTGGGAAACACAGAGCAGGAATCAGGCATAAGAAAGGCCAGAGTTGTAAATTCAATAAAGGGCTCAGAGCTTTACATCACAAATACTTTGTGAGAGGGATCAGAAGGTGTAGCCTATGGCAAACACTGAATAATGTCACAAAATGTGACAATGTATTTTAATAGACAGGAAATGACTCATAATAGATATGGAAATTATATAGATCAATCAGCTTTCTGTCTATAGTGAGACCACCGACTTATTGGAGCAAAGATAATCAATCACATGTACTATGTGCATGGTGCATGCAAAACACACATGAAGCAGATATAAGGTAACCTTAAAGGGGGCAGCTAGGTGGCACAGTGGATAGAGCAGCAGGCCTCGAGTCGAGAAGGCTTACCTTGTCAAATATGACCTCAGAAATTTATTAGCTGTGTGACTCTGGGCAAGTCATTTAACCCTGTTTGCCTGTTTCCTTATCTGTAAAATAAGCTGGAGAAGGAAACAGCAAACCACTCTAGTATCTTTGCCAAGAAAACTCCAAATAGGTTTTCCAAAGAGTTGGATGCAAATGAAAAGTGACTGAAAAACCTTAGAGGAGAAGGTGTTGAAGGGAGCAAGAGGAGGAGCGGGGGAAACCTAGTTCCATCGAAAGTAGCTCTTGAGCTAAGTCTTGAGGGAAACCAGAGTCTGAATGGCAGATGTGAAGAGGAAGAGCATTCCAGGCCAACAGGAGAGTCAGGACAAATGCTCAGAGATGGGAAGTGAGGGGTCATGTGTGAGGACCAGCAAGGAGGGCAGCGTGGCTAGATCAGAGGGAGGGGACTGGTACAGGAAGACTGGAAACCTAGGAAGGAGCCAGGTTGTGGAAGGCTCCTATTTGGTAATAGAGATAATATGCAGCCTCTGGAGTTCACTGAGTAGGAGAGCGCCATGATCACACCCATGTTTTGGGAAGATCCCTTTGGTGGCTGAATGGAGGATGGGCTGCAGCGGGGAGGCAGGCACGACCCCCTCACCCCTGCACATACGCACATAGCAGCTCCTGGCATAGTCCAAGCCTGAGGGTATGAGGGCTTGCATCAGGGTGGGGGCATTATCAAAGGAGAGGAGGGTGTGTACATAAAAGCTATTATAGTGTTAGAAATGATAAGATTTGGAAGAAAGTCATTTCGCAGATGAGACTCCTGTGTGAAGAGCTGAGTCCCTCAAGCATCATCTTGGAGAACTCTGCAGTCCTTCAGATGATTCAGAGTTTGGGGCTCATGATGGTGAGCACAGGGAAAAAGTAGCCCCACAGAATAAATCAAATCAGAAGCATTATGAAGATTGTCAGTACCTTATGTGTGCAAACTTCTGAGTTAATAATTCATTTAACTTTATTTAGATCAATAAATGTGGGCTCAGATCCATCCCCATCACAACCTCCAAGAATGTGCATCTATTTGACAGTTATTTTGGGATCATGCATCTAATGAGCCAAAAAGTATATTAACATTCACTTCCAACAGTTTAACCACAGCAGAGTTTTTATGAACAAGTGTAAAAGAATGCTTTAGGGAAAGAAGAGAGAAGATATTACAGCATTTTCCTTTTAACAAAAACATTCTAATGGCTGAATATATTCCTGTTATTTCATATCTTTGTATAAATCCAGTCCTGCCCAGATGCTATCCAGAAGACAGAGGAGAAATCCATATTACAGCATTTTCCTTTTAACAAAAACATTCTAATGGCTGAATATATTCCTGTTATTTCATATCTTTGTATAAATCCAGTCCTGCCCAGATGCTATCCAGAAGACAGAGGAGAAATCCATATGCTCATGTCTCCACATTATCCTGACTTTTCATTCAGTTGTCATTTCTTCCATCCCATGGATTGTGTTTTTGTGAGATCTGGAGCAGAAATAATTAAAAAAATAGATAATATCTAGAGATGGTATCAACATTCAGTGAAACATTCTTTATAGATGAGATTTTCCTTTCCAAGTGACAAAGGATGGGCAGCTAGGTGACTCAGTGGATAGAGT